GGGTAATAAACACTCAAGCCCAGCTTCTCAAAAGCTATTATTGAAATCAATGGAAGAGAAAGGAGCCTAAATATCTTTGAGGGTCTGGACCTCAGTCCATAATGAAGCCTGGCATGTAAGGAATTGTTCACCTCAGTGCTGTTTTCTGAAGATCCATTTGGGCTCTCTTTCACTTACTGTAACACCCATACATTCTATAACAGTGAATTCAATTAATCATATATGCAGGCCTTGTCCATAATTGAAGGACTCTTTCTGCCCTTGTCCCACATGTAATGGGGATCTTGGCATCAATGCTGAGGCCTGAAGGTTGAATATTTGAAGGCTTCCTGGCTTTATGATTCATCCTTGAAATGACATGACTTATGTGTATTATTAGGTATTAAGTTTTTTAAATATATATCCACTGGTTCATGTAACACTGGGTGTCTTAGCCTAGATAAGGAGCCACTGGCCATTGCCTTTAACTCCAAATCTTGTCAGAGCAGATTGATGTGGTGTTAAATGCTTATGGCCACATCTGTCTTGTCTATAGTAGGGCTCCAGATGTTTCAACCATGGGTGTTCGCTATGAAAGCTCTTACCAGAAAAATCCTTAGTGCAGACACAGCTTATGCCTCAGTCACCATCCTTCCTTTAGGGAGAACTGGCCAGGACTCAATTGGTTGGGAGTGATCACTGTCATTTGACAAACAGCCTTGCTGCCCTTAATCAAAAACTAAAATGTCTTCCTCCAGAGCACAGCAGACCTTGAGACTGAGCCCAGAATGTGAATCCAGGCCTCCTAGGATGTGTCTACATTGCAGCTTGGCGGTGTGGTTCCTAGCACGGGTAGATAGCTTGAGCCGAGTTAGTGAGAGTCTAGCACACTAAAAATAGCAGTGTGGATGTTGCAGTGCAGGTGGTAGCTCAGGCTACCTGCCCAAGTTCAGACCCAGGGGTCAGGTGGGCTTGGACTAGGGCAACCAGCCAATGCTCTAACAGCCACAGTGATATTTTTAGTGCACCAGCTTGAGTGCTAAAGTCACACCTTCAGGCTGCAGTTTAGGCATTCCCCTATAGGGCTGTGTCTGAGCCAGCTTTGCCGATTTTGTTTTTAAAAATGTTGTAGCCTTTTTCTGTAACGTGGCCTGTGGCCTTCGGCATTGCTTTCTGATGCTATTTTGGAACCACCAATGATGGGGTCTGTGGGAGCTTCCCCTACCCTCCTCACATCATGATCTGGGAAGGGAAGAGGCGCTGCGTTAAAAAGCAAAGAAACAGGATCCTCTAAGGACCACTGGAGGTATGAAGAGAATAGGACACTGAGGCCAGGTATACACCAGAAACTCTTGATGGTATAGTAATGGCAGTTCCAGTGGTAATTTTTTAGTGACATTTCTATACCAGCAAAAGCCCTAATGTAAACCTGGCCTCAGCGCTAGTAGGTGCAAAAAGAAAAATATAACCACAACTATTATTAAGCACAAATGCAATTGTTTAAGACTATCTTGCCTGAGTTTGGGGCTTGTTTCTTGCAAGAAGACTACATTTATCAGAATCCTGTTAACCAAGAAACTATTCAGAATGTGGAACTGACACTAAAAGTAGTCCCAAATTTGTAGTAATTTTGTACTTCACCATCTGAGAGATCTGGATCTGCTTTCTGCTGGACTAGTGGGGACCAAGACTACTGCAGGAACACCACATTCAGGCCTTGGCTTGCTCATTAATGATCCTGACAGCCAAAGAAGGAACACTGTTAAAAAAACAACAACTCTTAACTGTCTGTGTTTGAGACCGTCACCTGTATACAGCCAGAAAGACAGTAACTGATCTGGGAGGGTGGGCAGGTCGAGGGATAGGAGTTTTGCTGTTTAAAGCTGCCCGGGGACCACATGGTTGTTGGGGGAGAGGAGTTGAGCAGGTTCATTTTCTCTCTCAATCTAGAGAACAGAATAAACTTTAAAATAGAATTTGTCTTACTGTTGGCTTGCTAGAATGCGTGTGTAACTATCTTAGCTCTTAGGTAGTGTGGGGAGTAGTAAATGGTCGCAAGGGTTGATAGCTTTTTTTGGTGGGGTTTTTGGTTTTGTTGGCCAAGTCAAGTGAAGTAGCTTATTTTTACTTAGCTAAAAAATATCAAGAGAGCTATGTATCATGCCATTTAATTCGTAATGATTTTCTCATTGAAATGTAATATATAATTTAGCTTTTTTAGCATTTTGTTTCCTTGCTATGCAAGATAAATATCCATTATCATAGAACTGTCTGGATGGAGTTTGAATTCTGTGCTTGGCTTAGAAATACATAATTGTGTATATAACATGCTTCAGATAATGCTTTGATTTGTATTTTGAATATTATTATGTATTTGTTCTGATGTGTAACCTTGATGACACTGATATTTCTACAGCCCTACCAACCTATCCATTGACTTATTTTTATTAGGGCAACGAAAGGCAGAGCAAAAGCAAACAATTCATAGGGGGAGGTACGGATTCAAAACCCAGAAAGTACACTGTACCTAAAGCCTAGATGACTCTTCTCGTTGCCATGTTGTTTATAATATACCATGATGCTATTTTACAGCACACCTGTGATACCACTGCACCTTTGGAGTGACTGTTCATCTCATCATTGGCTTCCCAATCAGCATTATTAGCCTGCACATCCAGCTGCAAGGCTGGTGTATGCCATATTTTGTTTTAAAGGGGGAAATTACTAGCGCATATTAGAGGATTTATTATTGTCAGTCTTGCAAACAAAATCTAGCAAAACAATCTAATTCCAACATAAGAAAATATAAGAACAACCATTCTGGGTCAGCCCAAAAGTGCATCTAGCCCAGTATCTTGTCTTCTGACAGTGGCCAGTGCCAGGTGCCCCAGAGAAAATGAACAGAACAGGTAAACATCAAATGATCCATCCCCTGTCGCCAATTACCAGCTTCTGGCAAACAGAGGCTAAGGACAGCATCCCTGCCCATCCTGGCTAATAGCCATTGATGGACCTATCCTCCATTAATTTACCTAGTTCTTTTTTGAACTCTGTTATAGTTTTGGCCTTCACAACATCCTCTGGCAGAGAGTTCCACAGGTTAAGTGTGCGTTGTGTGAAGAAATACTTCCTTTTGTTTTAAATCTGCTGCTTATTAATTTTATTGGGTGAATCCTAGTTCTTGTGTTATGAGAAGGAGTAAATAACATTTCCTCATTTACTTTCTCCACACCAATCATGATTTTATAGACCTCTATCATATCCCCCCTTAGTCGTCTCTTTTCCAAACTGAAAAGTCCCAATCTTATTAATCTCTCCTCAGATGGAAGCTGTTCCATACCCCTAATAATTTTTATTGCCCTTTTCTGAAACTTTTCCAATTCCAATATCTTTTTTGAGATGGGGTGAACACATCTGCACACAGTATTGAAGATGTGGGTATACCATCAATTTATATAGAGGCAGTATGATATTTTGTCTTCTTATCTATCCCTTTCTTAATGATTCCCAACATTCTGTTCGCTTTTTTGACTGCCGCTGCACATTGAGTGGATAGTTTTCAGAGAACTATCCACAGTGACTCCAAGATCTCTTTCTTGAGTGGTAACAGCTAATTTAGATCCCATCATTTTATATGTATAGTTGGGATTATGATTTCCAATGTGCATTACTTTGCATTTATCAATATTGAATTTCATCTGCCATTTGCCCAGTCACCCAGTTTTGTGAGATCCCTTTGTAGCTCTTTTGAGTAGTTTTGTGTCATCTGCAAATTTTTCCACCTCACTGTTTCCCCTTTTTCCAGATCATTTAT